GAGTGACCGGAGGGTCAGCCCCAGGGGATGAACACCTTCCAGGGCCTCTGCTTTTGCTAATGTCCCATTATCCAAAGTCAGTCAGGTGGCCACCCTGATTCAAGGGATGGTGAAATAGGCTCCACTTCCAAGTGGGAGGGGCCGCAGCATCGCAAAGCGAGGACGTGGAAACAGCAAGGAGGAGAACTGGAGACCAATTGTGCAGTTTGTCATATGTCCCTAACCCCTCTCACAAGCCTCCTTGCAGACCCTCATCCTTACATGCAAATTTATATCTAGAAGCAGAGCCCTGTAGGCCTCTCATCTCAGATCCCCGACCATGAAAGGTCCCTCACCACCAGGTGTCCATGGAACCAGGTGTCCATGGAACCAAGGCTGGGCCCGAGCCCCTGGGGGCAGCCGGGAAACCCCTCTCCGCCGCAGCCTTCCCTCTCCGCTCTTGCTGCTTTTCAGCAGCTCTTCATTTGGCCTGGACTGGCAGCTCCTGTGCAGAAAGCCCGGCCCCGCCAGTCCTCTCGGAAGGAGTGAGCACTGACTACTTTGGGTTGGGTTTTGTGTCAGAGTTGCTTTGTCAGTGGGCAGGACTGAGAGTGACCTCACAGGACATCTCTCTTACCTCCATACTTTGGGGATAAGAGTCTCGGTCCTTTCCTGCTACCCTACCTCTCATATAACTACCGAAGTAAGGATGATGGCCATTTTGAGCCGGGGGCTGTGCTGAGTGTCTCATGGGATCACCCCATCTAATCGCTTCAACACAGTCTGTAGGCGATTTCATCAAAGGCTGAAAGCATCCTCCTTAACACGGCACCCTGACGCGAAGCCACGAGAGGAGCGGTTGCGAATGCCAGCAGCAGCATCAGAGACGCTCCGTAATGTGGAGTTGAGGAAGAGCCCAGCCCCTTGAGGAGACTGCTTTCTAGGACATGAGCCACCAAATTCCCCTGCCCTGGGCCTTTGCACTCACACTTTCGAAATTAGGAATTTCATTCTTTTTTTCAAGATCTCGAAATGTGATAATAAAGTTACACCAATGACTAGCCCTGCACAATGTGGGGAATGTGATAAACGTGAGAGCGATAAAAGGTGGGGTGACCAGCTGCTCGGCACTGATTCGTCTACGACTCATAAGAAATAAAAGTAATTATCACCTGCCCAACCTGGCCAGCCCACTCCGCGTGCGCGGAAGAAAACCATTTCAGAACTTTATTTCCTATACTGAATGTCGATAATTGGATGTATTTATAAGTCTCTCTGGAAGAAAACAGCTTGTGATTTCGAGATGAGAAAGCAGTCTTCCAAACAGTGAAAAACAATATATTCCCCGTTTTCATACACACACAAAGAGCTTGTTTCCGTTGATGTTTTTAAGGTGCTGTTGGAATGATTTGCCTTTCTGAAGCCACCGTTCCATTTCTCATCTTGAATTGCCTCGTAGACCCTGGCAAAGCACTCAGCAGGGACCACTTCATCTGAGGCGGTGACTGGGCTTCCTAGGGAGGGCCCCTCAGATGCCGCCCGCCTCTCTCCTGCAGGAAGATGGAGACTCGGGCTGACTGGGCCAGGGGAGAAGTAGGATGTGATGTGGGGCTACTCTAGGGGATAGTGGTGACAGCTGCGGAACGGTCCTGGAGGAAGAAGCAGGACACGCTGGCATCAGGACTGGGAGAGCTACAGCTACCGCTACTGACGCTGTAAAGGCCAAAGGCTGGGATTTGCCAGAACCATGATGGTGAGGCGGCCTCCGGGGTACTTCTTTTCCATAACGCCCCTTCCTTTCCCACTTGGGAAGAGGTCGAGCTGGAATATGCCATCCCTGCCCCCATCTCACACTCCACATTCACATCCCTATATCTTTCTGTTCAGTCTATTTGGTGCTGGTTTTCTGAGCCCAGTCACAAAAGCCCAAATGACACTCACTGTGAGGTTTCAGCACCTGAGGCTGGGGCCCCCGCACGGTTGGTGCAGTCTCTTGCTCACTCTTCCCAGATCTGTGACCCTCCTGAGCTCCCACCAAAGACTTAGGCCCAGATCCCAACTGCTTTCCTGCTCAGATTCCCTCAGCAACTCCCCACTCATCACAGGAGGAAAGGGCAGCATGGACCCCTGCTCTCAGCTCTCCCAGATGGGGGCTCCTCGGGGCCAACGCTGAGGGCTCCATTTCCTCTTCTGCCCCCAGATCTCCAGGATGGGGTCTGAGCTCTGACCCCCTCATAGCATGGCCAGTCACAGAGTGCCTCCAGGGGCAGAGCCAGCATTCAGGCAATCTCCAGTGTGGTCCCACAAAGCCTTCCAGCAGCCCAGTGTCCACGATATGCAGCAGAAAATGGATGGGGCCCATGTCATGGTTCTTCCAGGGATACCCCTGCAAAGCCCCAAGGGTGGCTCATGAGTCAGAGTCTGGCTGGTTGCCACCTCTGGGCCTGCCATCTCCAGACAGCCAGCTGTCAGCCGTATCCAGGGAGCTACAAGAGCATGTGGCTAGATTGAGGCGGGTGGGCAGAGCAGAGAAACCTGGCAGGACACTGCCACAATGGACAGAGGGAACCATTGGAGACCTTCTGGGGACCAAGTTTCTACTGAGTCTCTGGCTGGGACAGGGTACTCCTGGAGAGTTATGATGCTCTGGCTGTTGGGTCAGCTGAGCACAAATACCTCCCAGCCAGTTGTAGGTCACTAGAAGGGACACTGTATCAGCCAAGGGCCTGTAACCTCGGAGGTGATGCTGCATGAGACCTGAGTGTGCTGTCTGGGACTCTTTCTTGCTGATTTACACACTCCTGCTCCAACTCTCTAAAATCAATCTTTCTCCAATTGCCTTCTGGCTCCCAGCAGTGTCTAGGGTCTGCCCTGCCTGAGTAACTACGCAATCTTCTCCCATTCCCAGTACCACTTCTCCTGGAAACCCTGACAGAGCCTCTGATGGGGAGGGGTGAGGGGTCGGGGCAGCCCTCTGTGCTAGGCCCATGTAACAGGCAGAACAGGCCCATGGTCCAGATAGGCCTGGGTGGGTAGGAGTCATGGGCAGTGCTTCCTAATTACTGATCACAAGTAAGGGCTGGTAGGTGCCCTCCCCCTAGTATTTTGTGGATGTTTAGGGTAATTATTTTTCATATTAAACACTCAGAGCTGGCAGCTGCTTAATTTTGACATATTTTATGTTGAAAGAAATGATGGAGGGGCTGCAATCATCTGGGGGCAGGTTTTTCTTTCATAAAGGAGCTTGAAAAGCATGTTCTGCTCACCCTTGGTTATTTTTTAAAAGTGTCCCTTATTAGGGAATCGAGTCTCTTTAGCGGAAGGTAGAGCAAATGCTTAATGAGGGGCTCAAATTCTTGGGGACCCAGGGCAGGTCGTGGGGCATAGGGCCCTTTGCCTTCACTCTCCTCCATGGATACTGGCAAGAGGGCCAACAGACCCTCTCTGGGGTCTCGCCTGGAGGACAGAGACCCCTGAAAGTTACTATGTGTAGTGGAAGGGGGAGGAAGGATGGGGATCCCCTCTTCCATCACCTCTCCTTGATCTTATCTGGGTCTATCTGGATGTGCCACCTTCCTCCTCACAGCTTTGGCCTCTTTAGCTGTGTCATGAACTGAAGGTGCCTGGATGTTTGCTCAGGAAACCCTGCAGTAGCCCCCTGAGGTGGGTGCCATTGGCTCCCACTTGACAGATGAGGAAACCAGGGATGGTGCTGGGATTTGAAGTGGCCATGCTATGCCACTCACCCTGCTATGGCCTGGCTCGATTCCCTCCCCTATTTAAATGGACTGTTCTCTTCCCAGCTTTGTGGGGACAAACAGCAGCTGCTTCTTCACCTCATAGCCCCTGGTGTCCCACCCCAGCCCCCGAGCACAGCCATGGTGACCCGCATCCTTGTCTTGACAAAGAAACAATAGGCACCCCAAGCCTAAGCCCTTTAACCAGAAGCTACTTTCAGTTATGAGAAAGCTGGGGGGGGGGAGGCAGAATCAGGAACCCCCAAGGGCATGTGCTTGGACTCACCTCCTGTCCACACACATCTGCACACCCTCCTGTGGCCCAGGATGCCAAGGGTACCCCCCTCTGCCCAGCCCTGGGCCCTTTCCTTTCACAGAACCAGTGTGGGTCGCTACTCAGGGGTGTGACTGACCTCATAAGCTCCTGTGTGTGATCAGGCTATTATCAACTTCTCTGGACCTCAGTAAAATGCCATTTAGGACAGAGCCTACCTCACAGGGCTGTTGTGAGGATTCAATGAGCTAACATTTGCAGAGGATTGGGGCACAGTAAGTGCTCTGTACCTGTTGCGGTAGTTGTTAGTATTACTATTATTCTAAGGCACCTGCAGCCCAGGTTGCTTTCCTGGAACATCTGCTTCCCATGCCCCTCTCTCTGGTGCCCCTCCCCCTAACTCTCTAGAGGACCCTGCACCCAATACCAGAGCCCAGCGGAGCAGAGGGGGATGCCCTCTGGTAGACTCTCTCTCCTGAACTGTGTCCTCCACGTACCACTTCTCCCCAGAGATCTTCACTGGCCTCCTTGCCTCCAGGTCCTTCTCCATTCTGCAGCTGAGGGAGCTTGGAAAGCTCCTACCAGACCTAAATTCCCAGGTTCACATTCAAGGCCCTGCAGCATCTGAGCCTTGCTTACCTCTAAGGCCACATCTCTCACTCCCACACCCTCTCTTCTGGACACTCAACTTTTCTGTTACTCCAATTGCCTTGGCCTTTGCTCAAGCCATTTCCCTTCTTACGCAATAACTCTCACCTCTGCCCCACCCCTAGACTGGGTTAGACGCTCCCTCTCCTGTGATGACCTTCGCGGGACAGGATGCGACGCCAGGTAGGGGCTGAAACAAGGTAGCCACGGCTTAGGGACACGCCTTCTTGTTCTGGAAAGGCCTCTGCCCTCCCACCCCGGCTCCGCCCCTCGCCTGCAGCCAGAAGCCAGCAAGTGGATAGATCCTCCTCCCCATCTAGGGCTCCGCCCCTCCGGCTCCTGCGGGGCCTGGTGTTGGAGGGGAGGGAGTGGGGCGTGGCAGGGACTCTCGACCCCGTCCAGGCCCCGCCCCCCACGGCAGGACCCAGCCAGGCTCAGCTGACGCGGCACTTCACGTGACGCTGGACCCCGGTGAACATGGCGGCGTCCACCGGGTGAGTGCTCCTCCAGTCCCTGGCCCTTGTTTGGCGGCGCGGTGAGGGAACCTGGGCCTCCCGGCTGGACAGTGGCTGACAACCCCCGCCAGGAGCGCTGGGTGGCCGCGGGCAGCGTGCTTCTTCGCTCGGGCGGCCACCTGCGCACCCTGAATCGAGGTCCGCGCTGTACCCGCAGCTCACCTCCTCGCTGCTTATTGCTTCTCGGGGTCCGCTTGGAGCGGCGTCCCTGCTGTGTGGCCGAGGGGGCGGCTCAGCTCCACACGTGTGTTCACCGCCACGACCCTCAGGTGGGAAGGCGGCGTCGCCAGCGCCCCGGGCGCTTCAGGGAGGAGGCAGTGTTTGGGATGGGCTTGGTATCCCCTTCCCAACAGGGCACTTCTCCACTTCCTTCAGGTTCCAAATGTCACCTCTTCAGAGAAACCTTCCTTAAGCACCTATTCTACTTTTGTAGCCCTTCTCACCACCTGATAAACTATACAGTACATTCATTTTTACTTGTTTCAGAGTGTTCTGGGGACAAGGGAGAGGGATGTACTGGAGGCCATGGTGCTCCAGATGGCTTCTTCACATTTTGTCCTGAGGGGCTGGAACCCTCCCAGGCTTTTAATCTGCTCCGATATGCCTTTTAGCTGATTGCACCCTAGGTCTGTGTGAGTTCAAGGGGAGGTCCAGTTCTGGAAACAGCATGTGGGCCTGGTGGTGCTGGGGCTAGGCAGGGTAGTGGTAGAGAGGGAGCACTGCCCCAGATGCAAGACTGGGAACTGAGGTCAGAATGGGGGACCTGGTGGACCGAATGCATTTTTCTTTGGGGGAGGTAAGGAAAATGGCAACAGAAAGTGGCCCCCTCCATTCGCCCCCAAGGTTGGAAGAGTTTAGGACATGCAAGTCAAACATTTAGTGGGTACCTGCCACATTCCAAGAACAGTACTGTGCCTGCCCTTACATGTTTATAGGACACCAGGGCAGATGGACACATAGGACTCTGTCATCCATCTGCCTGCCTCTGGTCTTGGTGTGTGCCATGGAGGAGCATGGGTTCTGAGTTCAGGGGAGAGTGTGGATAGGCTTCACTCTCTGGATGACTTTGGTACTGGTCCTCGAGCATCCCTCAGGAAGAGAATTGTGCATACCAAAGTCCCAGATGAGTGTTAAGAAACCCAGGTTCAGAACCTTGAACCCAGCCTGTGTCCCTGTCTTAAAGAGCAGAGTGAGCAGTGGAGGTAAGACAGTGCATGGATGTGGGTCTATCACTCCTATATCTGGGCTGGCCAACTGGTCACAAGGAGTGCCAGAGGCTACATTTGGGTTCAGGGGTCCATGCTGGTCTGAGCCTTGCTGTTCTCCTGAAGGTACAGAGGAGCCAGGCTGGTGACTGGTTGGGGGTGAGCCTGGAACTGGCTGCATCCTGGAAGGAGGGCTCTTACAGCAAAGCCGATTCTCTAGGCCGTGGGTTAGTGTGGGAGATCTTTGAGAGAGGTGTTTTTGGAAGGGAGACCTGATGGGTGCAGGGAGTTTCCAAAGCTTGATGGCCTCCTTGGTAAGAGCCATCTCAGGCTGATATTGGGCTGCCCTGCTGGACACTTTGAACCTGAGGTTGAGCCTCAGCATCTTCCTTAGGGGGAGGAAGTTTTGAGTGTGTTTATTGCAAAGCTTGGTGCTCAGCTACACACACAAATCAGAGCGTCGGGCATAATGGGACACTGTGCTATAGTCATGGCCGTGGGTTGGATTTGGTTGCCTCTAGAGTCCTACCAGAGCTTGGGTCAGGGGAGGCTGTGAAAGTCCCCGGTGACAGAGTTGTGCCCCATGTGATTTGGGGAGCAGTACAAGCCCTAAGCTAGCATTTCACATTCAACTAGAAGCTCAGAATGTGTCAGTGTTGATCCTGCTCTGTCCTGCCAGCCTGGGCAGGGACTTCAAGTTGAGACAGAGAGTCTAACAGCCCCCAGAGGGTCTGCTCTGAGGTCACCGCCTGCCCCTATCCCATGGCACTTGGTGGGAGGGAGCCTTGCTTTCTCCTTGAGCCATGCCTTTGACTTTTCCATGGACAGAGCTGAGCCTTTTTTGCTGCGGCCAGACCTGCCTGCATCTGCACCCCCATATGGCTTTTTCCTTTCTCCCCTTCCCTTTACCCACTCACCTGCTCACCTTGGAGTGCACTTGTCCTCTGACATAATTGTTCACATACCTGCAGGCCCAACTCAGATGGTTCCTGTCCTAGAAGCCTTTCCCGAACTCCCTCCCTCTTGACTTCGAAAGAAGTTCCTTCTCAGAACTCCAGAGAGTTCCAGTTTTTCCGCTAGCAAGATAGTTTCCCACCTCTACAGACCTGCCCGTTGTGGTTGAGTGAGGGCTTGCTGCCCTTCATGCCTCTCCTTGCATTCTTGGAGCCCAGGGACCAGTTTAATTTGTAATTCCAGGGCCATGTGGCCACCTTGTGATTTGGTACTGGGTGACATGGTGCCAAATGAAGAAAAAGAGGATTTACTTTAAATTATACCTTCCCGCTTTCCAGGAGGCTCTCAGTGATTGAGGAAAGGAGTTGTGGGTGAGAGGGGGACAGAATTCTGAGTAGGATGAACAATTATCTTTAATTCATTAACCGAACGGCTCCCAGGGAGCTGTGATCCAGAGAGCCTTTGCCCAGCGAGAAGCAGCAGGTGAGCTGCCCTGGGTGTGTAACTGTTGGGTCATAGGTCACTCTGCAGTCAGCATTCTTCTGGAGAAAAAAACATCTGGAGGAATCATATTTTGGATCAAAGCCCGTCCCCACGCTGATATGAACCTCATTCTTCTAGAGAGGAGGCATCAGGCTGACCCTGGGGGCTGGGGTAGGGTTTGCTCTGTGCGAGGGAGGCTGGCCACTGAGCGCCCCCTTTGCTCTCCCTGGCCCTTCTCAGGCCTGGTCCTGACTCCACACAGCCCTCTCTTGATCCTTGTGTGTGCTTAGACCTACCTGACCCTCTGGAGAGAGCAAGGCAGGGTGGGTGATGTTGACCCACTGCCAACAGTCCTCTCTAGCCAGGATGAAGGGACTTGCCTCATTGACAGCCATCCAGTGAGTTTGGTGCCAGACTTGAGCTGGAGGTTGAGGGTGAGGAAGCAGGCTGGTCCTTGGCAGCAGGGACCTCTATCCAGAAGTGGTATCACATTCTAATGCAGGAATCTTGACCTCGTCTGTGCCATGGACTGCAATGGCGTCACTGAGACCTTTGCACCCTTCTCACATGATATCTTTAAATGCATAAAATAAAATACAGAGGATTACAAGGAAAACCAATTATATTGAAATACAGTTATCAAAATGTTGAAAAATAAATTCATGGCATAGTTATTATGCTTCTTTATTAACACATTAAGTAATAAAAGCAGCAGGTCTAATCTTAATTTTGAGGTAGTGAGAGCAAAAGTAATATTTTGAAATACTGAGACATCAGTACTGTGATGTGAAAATACCTGTGATTTCTGTTGGTGACAGATTCTCTTGAGATTAGTTGTTTACATTAATAATTGAAGAAAATAGAAATTTGAATGAGAGGTTAGAGAAGCTAAAGAAATAATTTTTACCCATCCAAGTAGATGGAGTCCCTAAAGTCTATGTGTGAATCCCCAGGGGTTCATGGGCCTTAGGTGAGACCCCCACAGGTAACCACTGAGGGCAAAGGAGGGGGTGACTCAGTAGTGATTTGGGGGAATGAGAACAATTTGGGGGGAGGGGGATGGGTTGCAGGGGCAGCAGGATCACACCTTTCGTGGGGGCCGTCCCCCTCCTGGTCCCTGGCTGCTTCCTGGGCCCTGGTAGTCAGCAGGGAGTGGGCTGGCCTGCGGGGGCTGGAGCCTATTCTGTGGGGCTCTCTGATGCCCTGTGGCTGTTGTCTGACAGCCTCTGCTGTCTTCCCCAGGCATTGCCTGTGCCCTCGGCTCCCTGTAGGAAAACAGGCCTTATTTATGCTGGGACTTGGCAGATGACCTCGCTTTTGCCATTTAAACTCCTGCTGCCAGTTAACAAAGAGCCAGCAGAAGGCAACTGGAGATGTTTTGTTAGTGCTGCTTGTGCCGAACTTGCAGGGAGAAGTCACCTGTGTTGGCTCTGGGCCCAACATTCTCTCTGGGGATGAATTCACTAGAAATCAAAGGGCATGTCTTTATAAGCCTTGATTCTGTGGGTGCCCTGCAGTAGCAAATGACCGCAGCACAGCAGCCTGCCCAGTGGCTCTGGTTGGGCTGCCCTTTTCTGTTTTGGCTGAGCCCCGCTGAGGATTAGGCAGAATTGTAGCTCTTGCTCTCAGTAGCAGCAGACACTCAGAGAATGAGCTTTATTATTTCTGGTCTTGACCTGGGCTGCTTGGCCCTTGGGCCTGAAGGCCCCAGTCTGAGTGCCCTGAGCGATTTAAGCCTCTCAGAAGGTTCTAGACGAGAGGAAGCCCACCTCTTCTGAGAACTTTCCAGGTAGGGGCACGGTGGTGGGCCTGGTGGCAGGCTCAGTGGAGCTGGCACCTAGTATGTTCGAGGAGAGAGGCGAGGACAGAGGGGCCAGGAGTAGGGGCTGAGGTGGGCAGGCTGGGCTCTGCAGGCTGGAGTTGGGCGTTTTCAGCCCGTTTTGCTGTGGAGGCCTCACAGATCTGGGCACCTTTGGCCAGGGGCATCTGCCGCATTGCCTTGGCGTTGTTTTCTCTGTGCTGTTGGGGAGTCTGTAGAAACAAGGTTCTTCCCTGTGCCCACCCCACTCCATGCGCTCCGCTGAGTGGAAGAAGAGAGTGTGAGGGGCTGTGGGGTACACTGTGCAGGGGTGCTGACGGCAGCACTTTCGGTTCCTGACAGTGTGGCCAGCTGAGATGCAGGCATGTTTATGAGCTGTCACCTCTGCCCTTTCATCTTGGTGGCTGAGCTTGGCAGGAAAGTGGCCTGACTTAGAGGAAGCCCTGGCCTTTTGTGCCCACCTCCTGGGAGTGTGAGTGTGGCCCCATGCTGGGGTGCGGGGGGAGGAGGGGTGAAGGAGAGGAGGAGGGGAGGGCAGCTCTAGTCCTGTCAGCATGTATAGGCTGTGCGTGACTCCTCCACCCTTCCTGGCCAGTGGGGGCCTGAGGTTTCTGCTTCCTGCCCCACCAGGGCTGTTATTAGCAGCTGTGTGTGTGGTCCTACATTGTGACAGTTGCTCACTCAGTGAATATTTATTGAGCGCTTGCTGTGTGCCCAAGCAGAGTGCCAGGCGTTGGGCACAGCAGTGAGCAGAGCAGACCCAGACCTGTGTCTTCACAGGGTTTACACTCTAGTGGGCAGAGGTGGACCTCACCATGAGCCCCAGTAAACACAGGCTGCACTTGTGTT